ATTTAAAAAGTTAAAAAAAATTAAAAAAAAAATTTAAAAAGTTAAAAAAAATTAAAAAAAAAAAGTGGGGCCATTTTTACCACTACGTCCACGTCGTTGGTCCTGGGATAAGCTAAAGGTGGTATTATAATTATATTATAGATATAGAGACCGATTATTCTAAAGAATATACTGAAATATTAATATTAAAAATCATACGACGTAATTTTGAGTTTTTTCGAAAAAACGATCAGCTAGGATTTTATGAAATACAGTTTTTACATCTATGATCAGTCTTCTAAGAGCCTGTTCAGTCAATTTTTGGATCCATTTTAATCGAACCTGTCGATGCTTGAGGACCACTGTGTTGCTCACATTCATATATCTCGAAAATACGATCAGGTACGATTTCGGGGTTTTGAAATTTAGAATCTAGAGGTAATTTCTGAAAACTCTACGTTGAATTTGGTTGGATCCAATTTCGTAAAACCTGCCGCTGCTTCAAGATTCAAAGGATATCGATTGACTGTTAGAAATCTTTCTTATTTCCAACACGAATTTCTTCGACCTTGATGGACTTTGTGGATTTTGACTATCAAGGAAATAAAATTTTTTACCACAAATTGGATTATATATAAAAACTAGAGGGGCTACGCCCTCCTGCGCGCTTCGCGCGCCAACCCCCCTATTTTAATCATTTTTTTTTAATTTTCCATTGATCTTATTTTTCCAAATGAACCACCTATTTCAAAGAATTATTATTACAAATTCATTGAAATCTGAATAAATATTATTAAAATTATTAAATTTTAATTAATAAATTAATTCAATTAATAATAAATAAATAATTAAATAAATTTTTGGCGGAAACTCCACCTTCACTTGCGGCTATATTGAAAGTCTTGAAATTTACATAACCTTAAAATTTATGTCATTTTTGGCGGGAAATACAGAGAGAGATGAGGGAAGGGGGAAGGACTTACTGCTTTATTAGGGTCTTAAAACAAACATAACCTCAAAATTTTGGTCATTTTTGACGAAGGAGGGGAAATGAGAGGAGGGGAGGGGACTTGCGGATATATTCAGAGCCTTGAAACGAACATAACCTCAAAAATTAGGTCATTTCTGGCGGGGGAGGGGAGAGGACTTGCGGCTATATTCAGAGTCTTGAAACGAACAAAACCTCAAAATTTAGGCCATTTTGGCGGAGGAGGGGAAATGAGAGGAGGGAGGGGGACTTGCGGCTAAATTCAGAGCCTTGAAACGAACATAACCTCAAAATTTAGGAGGGGGGACTCCCCTCTCCTAGGTCAAGAATTCTTGAAACAGCGGCGGCGGAGGCGGCGGCGATATCTTTTTGTAATATAGGAAGATATATAATATTTTATAATTTTCTTGATATTTACATATTTAATGTCAATGAAATTCATTAACGATCATTAAATCGAAATATTAGCACCTTATTCAAACAAGTTTAACAGTACAATACAAGGTTATTTCTTAATAATTACAAATAAATAACACGTAATAAATTGCTTTTTTGAAAAATTCGAATAAAATTGTTTATTTTATTTTATATATTTATTTTTATCTTTTCGAACGAGTATCGTATGCATATGTGTGAGTAAATATGTTACGTTTTACGGTGAAAGGGACTTAACGCGACAAAAAAATGAATATTGGGTTTTAGATATCAATCGATATATTATGAATTGCTTTTTCAAATACAAAAGTCTAAAATTTTATCATTTTTTGTCGCGTTAGGTCCCTTTCACCGTAAAGTGTCACATATGTTGTAATATTTTTATTTCTTTTTTCGTGCGTTTCGTTATCTTTATTTAAATTTAACACAAATTCGAGATTATCGTTTGTGATTTTGAGTGACATATAATTATTGCTTTTTTTCCTTTTATCGAAATTATTATTTTATTTTTTTAACATGGCTAATGAGGATGATAGTCAGGCTCGATTAACGGCGCCAAAAAAAGGTTTGTCTAAATTTCAACTCCAATTAGATAGAGTTTCTCAAAATGTTAACTGCATGCTTTTCGTATCCCTTAAAATCCTCGCTTTGTTTCAAATGACCCTTCTTTTTGGATCCGTTGTGTTCATTTGTGCTTGCGATATTATCCAGATGTGTTCGGTAACAAATGACATTTTTACGCGAATTATTCTTGTTTATTCTTTTTCTTTTGAGTTCGGATTACGACAACTTCTAAAAAGAAACATATCGACAGATGAAAAACCATAATTGATTTTAACACGATTGAAAAGTTTAAAAGACGAACATTGTAGCGATGAAATCATTAAGTCAGTTTTTTTAGATCAATTACCGCCGAATACTTAAGCAATTCTAGTGTCCGCACAAATAAACTATTTTCAGACTTTAACCGATCCATAGGGTAATAATAAAAATAAACATTCGGAAAACTAAACGTGCCCGACAGTAACAAGACTGTCAGTTTCGCTCTCTCTAGATCTCTTCGTGTGCGTGAGCGCTATTCGGGATTACTTTTCCTTACTGATGCCAGTTCCAACGTTTCTCTTCTCCCAGTTTAACGAAAATCTCGGCTTATACCGACTGATATTGTTTTGTTCGCTGCAAACGAGTCGAAAATGTCTACTTTCGGGGAAAAACATTTATCTTTGAATCTCGGATTTGGATGTGAAATTAAATGGAATTTTTGCTTAGCTTCAATTCCATATCCTATCCTTGGAGGAGATTTTTTGGCTCATTATGGTTTGACGATTGATTTAAGTCGGCGTAAATTAATCGATACGATCATCAATTTCCACACTAAAGTCATTTTTCGCAAGGTTGCATCGTGTAGCGTAAATAAAATAAATCATCAAGCGATCTTTTCTGAAGTCTTATCAAAATATCCAGAGATTACCTGTCCATCGCAAGGAAACGTAAATTGCACTCGTATCGTTTTCCATCATATTATTACAGATGGTCCCCCGTTCGCTGAACGTGCTCGTAGACTTCCTCCAGAAAAGTTAAAACCAGCTAAAGAAAAATTTAAAAACTGGTTAGAACAGGGAAAGTGTCATTACTCTGATAGTAGTAAAACGCTGGTACAACGATATTTACAAAATTGGACCTTCGAATGACTTAGAATCAAATTCCGGTCATTCCGGAGGATTTATTCCACACGCAGTGCAGACTCTTGCATCTCTCAATCGCTTTATTACAGGTTCCAAGAAAAATGATCATTGAAATAGTTTGGGATTCGGACGCGGCTTTTGATAAGATAAGGGACGAAATTGCAAACGACACTTTTCTTTTTCATTCTGTTTCGGGAGCTAGGACGCGTCTTGTTACTGATGCCTCTGATTTCGGCATTGGAGCAGCTTTATAGCAGTATATTTCAGATTGATGGAAACCCTTAGCATTTTTTTTAGAAAGTTGTCCCCTGCACTACACAACTATAGCACGTACGACAGGGAACTTACTGCAAGTTTTGAAACTATAAAATATTTTCGGTATTTCCTCGAAAGACATGAGTTTCAAATACTGACTGATCACAATCCTCTAAGTTTTGCCTTTTTGCAAAAAGCATAAAACTTATAAAGGAGAATATTATAGCTGCTGCTCAATAAACTGATAAAAATGTGGAGTTGACGATTGCTAACTCGCAATGGTCAATTTGTCTTAAGAAAATTTTTTTTGATGAAGAAAATGTATTGTTGTATTGCGATGTTTCCGGTGATACTTTGTGTCCATTCATACCTGCATCTTTGCGTAAAAAAGTCATGAAAATTCATTCATTGTCATACCCCAGCGCTCGTGTTCTTGTCCGAATCATTAGAAAGCAATACGTTTTGCCTCAGATGCATAAGCAGATTTCGGAATTTTGAAGGAGTTGTCTCAAATGTCAGAAACCTAAGATCACTAGACATAGGATATTACAACTTGCACATGTAATCGCTCCCGAATCGAGATTTCATCACGTCCATATGGACATAGTTAGTCTCTTACCGGAAGACCAGATATTTCGGTATTGTTTAACGTTAATTGATCGTTTCTCTCGCTGGCAAGAGGCAGTCCCTCTTAAAAATATTAAGGCACTAACAGTCAACCGCACATTTGCTGATGTGTTTATATCAAGATTTAGTCCCCTGGAAACTGTCATAATCGACCAGGGTAGTCAATTTGAGTGCCGAGTATTTAAAGTATTGCTTCAACAGTCTAAAGGTCAAAGGATCTGTACCATTGCGTATCATCCCGCATCCAAGGGGATGAAAGAGCGTTGGCATAGGGCCCTGAAGGCATCAATCATGTGCCACTTGACTTTTAGATGGACTTAAGTCCTTCCTACTATCCTTCTTGAATTAAGAACTTCGGTTATGGTTATATTTCTTTTTTAAAATTATAAGTTTGAATGAATGGTTTTTATAAACATTTGTGATGGTAATTTTTTATAAAATTTTTAGGGAGGGGAGTATGTTGGGGTTAGCGTTTAGATCCCACATACTCTATGGCTAATTTGAGAATTTGTTATTTCGGAGTAAGAGAGAAAAACGGTAGCCGGTTCTTCAAGTAGTATAAAGTGAGTTTAGTCAGTATTATACATACAGTCAATCAGATATGTTGTGTCAGATAAGATATATAAATGTATCATTATTAATTTACTAAGATTAACAAATGTTTAATATATTTTTGTTCACATGAAAAAATAGAGATGAAATTATTTCTACCTTTTTGTGACTGCAAATTTTACTCTGGAAATTATTGTGAAAAATTAATTCTCAGAGTTATTTAACTCATAATTTGCCATATATTCTAAAATTATAACAATCTGTATATTTATTAACTAAACGGATAGATGTTCTGATTACATTTTATAGAATACAAACATTCCTCGAGGAGCATAGATAGAAAGTTTATATTGAAAATTAAAATATTATCAATGAGTTTATTATTCAAATATCTATAAGCTTTCCTTGGGGTTAAATGATATACGAAATATAATTTTGAGATAACTATAAAAATATATTAAATACAAACACTTAGTTACCTATCCTTATGATGTCTGGAAGCGCATAACCAACAGTAAAGATGGTCACGAAAAACCAACATGTGTCCATTTCTTATTGATGACAAAATTTTTAATGTTCTTACTTCGTCAAGCTTAAACAAAAAGATAAATTAATGTTAGTGAAGTAAGTTAGAGGACATTTACACAGATTCGTATACCTATAACATATAATAGTTATATTAGTATATGCGTCCGCCTGAAAAGGGAGCATTTTAATTTATTTCATACAAGCAGTATTCGCATTAATGATCACGCAAAAGGAACCCATATTGAAATCGTCAAAGTTGACTCTTTTCATGCGGACGGACACAAATAAATAATTTTATAGATATTTAAATTTTCAAATAGGATTGTTAATTTGATATGTAATTATTTTAAGGTATTAAACTGTTATATATTAACACGTATATGGATGATTTGCATGTAATTGTAACATTTGGCGGCGTAACACAAAATACATTCAATACAAAAAAATTTTGTCTTGAGTACAGTACAATCTCAGTAAGTGTCGGGTGATGGGGAGGCAGACAGTGCCATATCATAGTGTCTTCAAATGCTTATTGATGTATAATGTATAAGTCTTCTCGAATATAAAAGATTGAATAATAATTTAATATGTAATTAGATTAAAATTCAACTTACCTACTTTAAATTCATAATTAAAATAGTATATTATGATACTAGGCCAGAAAGTCGGATTTCCTGGCCGGCGTGATATATAAGGCCGAGGCGAAGCCGAGGCCCTATATATCACGCCTGCCAGGGCATCCAACTTTCTAGCCATGTGTCGTATACAATTTTTCTGTATCCGCAGCCGAAAGTACGTTAAATAAATATTAGCCGAGACTTAGCTGGTCGGGGCGGGCATGAAAAAAAATATATTTTATCATTTTCTATCATTTTTTGATTACTATTTTATTAAAATATTTATTGTTTTATTTTTATTATTTTTCATTATTATTATTAATACTTTTAAAATATAAAATCAATTTTATACTTTTTCTTGTTACAGTTTATGACTTATTTTCTTTACTGCAAACACATGAAGAGATATTAAAAGTACAATTATTAAAAGTGCAATTGTCAAATCTTGAATTATCAACTGGATTATTTTTTTTCTTTATGAGTAGGTGGCTGATCAGGGTGATTTTGATTGTCGGAATTTTCATTATTTTTTCTTTTTTTGACGCTGATGGCTGAACAGTTGGTTGAATCGTTGGTTGAACTGTTGATATAACGGTTGGTTGAACAATTAAGTGTATAGTTGGCTGATTTGCAAAATTTAATTTCACACTTGGTTTGTGAAAAAACAAATTACTACTGTCCTTTACTGATTTGTTCTTTTTAGCGACTGGTATTAGTATTTGATTTTGATTTGCAGTAGTAAAACCACTTTCTATAAATCCACCTAAAAAAAGAATGACATATGTAAGTATATAAGTATATTTTTATAGTAAAATATACTAAAATAATTCTTTTCACTTACTTTGTATTGTATTGTATTGTCACTAGCGTACTAGTCGATGGTTTTGAAAGAGCACTTGTATCTTTTTGAATAATATCGTCATAAATTAATTGTCTGTTATGCATAGAATTTTCTATGTAACCTTGGGCAATCATATCCGAACGCCACCTCCCTAGCTGCTTTATCATCTGCATATTTGCACCAGAATCAGAAAGCAGAGTCGCTGATGTTCTGCGAAAGCAATGGCCAGTGTATCTTTTTGGATTTGGAAGCGATAGATAGGAAGCAATCTTTTCGGGTACTTCGCCAATTTTATGCCTTCCAATTGGATGTCTGAAACATTTTCCTTCCTTATATTTAATAAAAAATCTGTCGTTGAATTTGTCAGTTGGTCGCAATGAAATCTATTTCTGGACCTTTTCATAAAAAAGATTTCCAATAATAAATTGGCCTGGGTATTCATTTTTATTAGAATTGATTTAAACTACGTATTTATTGTTTAAATCTTCTACATCTTCAACCTTTATGTTCGTTATCTCATCGCAGCGTAAACAACCACATATGACAAATATGAGTATAACCTGCAAACATGAAAACAAATTCAATTCAACTGACTTTAACAAATGTAGTATTATTTAAAATGTAAATAATTAATATTTCCTACTAATGAATAATTAAAAATTAAATTCATTTACAAAATTCAAATTTTGTTATTATAATTCTTATATTAATAAGTAACGTCAGTTTTTATAACCTTCATGATACCTAATTACCTTAATTAAATAATTATAATTTTATTGATAAAATTTTCTTAATAGTAATTGAATTAATTAAATAGCCATTACCTTCATTGCTAAAAATACGGAATCTGGAGCTTCGTTCATAAATTTCATTATTTCTTTCCATTTTAGAATAAAGGCTTTTTTTGGTTTGTAACCAAAAATTATTATTAATATTTATTTTTTATTATTTTTTATTATGCTTTTTAAGTTAAGAAAATTACTGATATTAATACCGTCTTTTGCATTCAAAGTTTTTCTCAGCATGCTCCAAATACTCCACAAAGTTGGCGGTTTCAGTTTCACTTTTAAAGCTTCAAAGTAAACAATTAAATTGTTTTCTTCGGAATCGGATAAAGAATTCTTATTTTCCTCTTGCCACTTTTTGTATGTATAGTAAACTAAAAGGTACCGATCACTAGACTTTTTTGGCAGAATTTCACTTTGCACAATCAGTACGGCTTCTTCATAAAAATTTCTGAACACTTCTTCTTCGTCTGCGGAACTTTCAGATGAACAGTTCTCCATTTTTGAAATTTTTGACACCTTTTAATACCAAAAAGACAGAGGTTCCGCTGTAATGAGCGTTGCTATGATACCGAGCCACGAAAATCTCGTAGCCAATCAGAGCGCGCGTTGGTTCGAGCAGGCCATAAAAGTTGCTGTTCCTGGTAGAAAATTGGGACTTTCGGTTAGGGGATATAGAAAACATTATTTTTATTTTATTAACGTACATATTTGAAAACGATTTTATACGGCGCTTGTTTTCGATGTGCAAGCAAATAGTAGGAGAAAAGCACCCGACACTTGCTAAGATTATAAGTGTGGAAAAAATGTGACACATATCGCAATCCGACAGTTATCAAACTCGACACATACCGAAATTTTACTGTTTGTATAAATTTTAAAGGTATGTATAAAACCAATTCACAAATAAAAATACGTATATATAGATATTATCTTTTTTAAAAAATTGTATTTTTACCTCCAAAATGTCAGCTCCGTGGCGGGTCAGTTTTTAAAAATTTTAAGTTTAATTCAAAAATTTTTATTGAAAACGTCGAAACTTGAACCCAGAATTTTTGTAATATGAATTGTGTATATAGTTGTAACAATTTGTGCATATAATACATTTTTTAATACTTTTTATAAAATTATAAAACATAAAAAAAAATTTATCCATCAATTTTTTCAATAAGATTTTTTTTCCTATAATTTAAGTGGTTATAATACCTTTTAATGCTATCTGCGAATTACAATCTAAAATAAAATCCATTAGCAATAAATAACAGTAAGAAAAAGTTATAAAAATGGAAGTTCTACACTTAAAAAAATCGTTTTTGTGAAAATATGAAATGTACAAAAATAAGTGGTTAGTACCGTGTTAATATTATTCTTTTAAATTAAACACTCTTTGTTAAAATTATTACGATTTTTTGAAGATTACATTGCAAACAAATGATCTACCCACGGAAAAGAATTATTTTGCAGAATTGTTTGAGTTAGGTTTGTTTAAATGTCAAATGTCAGCTCCATGGCATCACATAAAATGTCAGCTCCGTGGCGCCGATCACGTACAATGTAAAGTGCCAATTCATCGATAATAAGTTGTCACCCCTATTGAAAAAATGTATCTTGTAATTAAACACGTGTAATCGATACTTTGATATATCTTGAATATTTTATAAACTTTTTACACATATAATTACACGCGTAATTCATACTTTGAAATTTTTTTAAAATTTCAAAAATTTATTACACATGCAATTACACGTGTATTCGATACTCTGATATTTGTCGAAAATTTTATAAACTTTTTACTCATGTAATTCATACTTTGAAACTTTTTTGAAATTTCAAGAATTATTACACGTGTAATTGATACTTTGATATTTCTCGCAAATTTTATTAATTTTTTACACGTGTAATTACACGTATATTTGATACTTTAATATAAATTTAAAATTTCGACAGAATATCTACGTGTGTTTGATACATTGAAACTTTTTCTTAATTTCAAGAATTGTTACATGTGGAACTACACGTGTAATCGATACTTTGATACTTCACAAAAATGTTATTAAATTTTTACACGTATAATTCATACATTGATTTAAATTAAAATTTTCTATTGAAACTTCACGTGTAATTACACGTGTATTTAATACTTTCAAACTTTTTCGAAAATTCAAGGATTGTTACACGTGTAATTACACGTGTATTTGATACTTTTGATATTTCTTGAAAATTTTATAAACTTGTTACACGGTTAACTACACGTGTAATCGATTATTTTGTCTAACAAAAATTTTTAAAATAGTCATAGAATAATTAATACATCGAATGTTTATGCGAATTTTTTTATTTGTACATCGAAAGTTATTAATGACAGTTAATTTTTATGCATTAAACATTGTGATCATTTTAAAAAACTAGTGGAATTTGCCTAAACATAAAGAGACAAAAAAACTTTTAGAACAAAATTTTAAATCAATATCGGTAAAGACACGAAAAATGCTTTCATAGATAACGAGTACCACTTAAAAAGTTAGTTTTTAACGAGAAAAGAATATGCCAATAGTTGACATTTATCATATTAATTGCCATAATAAAAAAATTAAGGTGGAGCACGACTCCCAACGAGGCACAATTTCCCACTCTTTCCTACATAAAAAATAAAACCTTTTAAAAAATCGTTTTTTAGGTTTATAGTTTAGAATAAACCTTTATGAAGAGATTTCTGTTTGAATTTATATATTACTGGTCGTTTGGAATCAATCCTGATGGAAGTGAAGACATAGAAAGAGATAGAAAAAAGGAGATAGGAAAATATAAAAAGGTATACTGTTTTGGAGATGCAGAATGGATACTTGAAAGATATAGAACTTTTTAATCTCTTTTTATTTCTATATTTCTATCTCTTTGCTTATCTTTTTTGAGAAATAGAAAGAGATAGAAAAAGAGGAATAAAAAGAGAAAGAAATTTAAAAAATTGTTAATTATTGCAATAATAAATTCTAAAAATGTTATATTTCGTTCTAGTGTAACGAAACGATAAAAATTAAAATAAAATTTTTTTTAAAAATTATTCTTTGAAATATTATTTTGCAACTGCGCTAAAAATCTCAATTCAAAAACGGCCATGCAGTGTCACTTTTTTTGGAGCCGAAAAACAAGGACACGGGAGTGGGATTACAAATAGCAACAGTGCTACGAACATATCGCTACGTAGCGATTTGAAGCTACATTCGCTTAAAAAATTTGTTGTTACTGGGTAACTCAAAAAAATTGTATCAGTTTCAATAAATTATTAGAATAAATAAATTATTTTATTGTAAAGTAACAGTTGGCAAACATGAAGTTAGAGAAATGTTTCCAGGGGTGCGTTCACGTAACTCTCACCCTCACTCTCACTGAAAAATTTGTCTCTCTCACTCTCACCCTCACTCTCACTCAAAAATTTTTCACTATCATTCTCACTCTCATTCAAAAATTTTTGTCTCTCGCACTCACTGTCACTCAAAAATTTTTCACTATCATTCTCTTTCACTCAAAAATTTTTTTCTCTCACTCTCACTTAAAAATATTTCACTATCATTCTCACTCGCATTCAAAAATTTTTCACTTTAACTTTCACATTCACTCAATAAATTTTCTCTCTCACTTTCACGTTCTTTAAAAAAAATTTCACTCTCAATGTCACTCAAAAAATTTTTACTCTCACTTTAAAAGATTTTAACTCTTATCCTTACTTTTACTCAAAAAATTTTTTCACTAAATATTAAGGATTCATTTCTACTTTTACTATCAATTGCACTAACATAAACTGTATTATTTATTGTTAATAAGATTCCTCTCTAAAAAAAGACAATTCGAGAATTTCTCGAAGGAACTCGAAACCTCGAAAATTTGATACAGGAATACAATTAATTGCCAATTCACTATTTAAGTCACGTTTTACAAAATACGAAATGATACTAATAAATTATTAATAACACAGCCCCACAAAAAAAAGTGTCGTGCGCGGCAGCCTAGACTAGTCATTTCCTATGTATTTTGACGCGCTGAACACGAATCCGAAGTCCGTTTTGCTCCATCACGTCAGGATTTTTTTCTAACCTCCAAAAACCTGACGGATTTTGAGAGGTAGGCTATTTTTTTAAAAAATTGATGGATTTACTTCAAACTTGGTATATAGGGGTTTTTTGGGTCGCTGATGACGAATTTAAAGTTAGATTTTCAAAATTCAAAATGGCGGCTCCAATATGGCGGACGAATTTTGTAAATATTGATGGATTTACTTCAAACTTGGTATCTAGGGATTTTTTGGGTCGCTGATTACGAATCTAAAGTTTGATTTTCAAAATTTAAAATGGCGGCTCCAATATGGCCAATATGGCCCCAATTCCAATAGCGCATTCATCAGAAATGAAAGAAAACTATGAATATATGAAACTAGTTTTGGATAAAATTAGATACCGAGAACACAACTGGCAAATTTGTGGAGATTTCAAGATTTTAAGCATACTACTTGGACAACAATCAGGTTTTACAAAAACACCATGTTTCCTGTGTTTGTGGGACAGTAGAGATCGAGCAAATCACTACATTAAAAAACAATGGCCAAAAAGGAATTCTTTCGAACCAGGTTCAAAAAATATAATAGAAAATCCTCTAATCGACTCTTCAAAGGTGATAATTCCACCCTTACACACGAAACTAGGAGCAATTAAACAGTTTGTCAAAGCCTTAGATAAAAAAGGAAACTGTTTCAAATACCTGGAACAAAAGTTTCCAGAAATCTCTGATGCGAAACTAAAAGAAGGGGTTTTCGACTGACCACGTATTCGCAAATTGTTAAAAGATGAGCAATTTATCACCAAGATGAATAAAAAGGAGAAAGCCGCATGGCTTAGTTTCAAAGCAGTTGTCGGAAATTTTCTGGGTAATCACAAGAGTGAAAATTGGGAGCAAATAGTTAGTGATATGATTAAAAACTTTGGTAAGTTAGGATGCTTAATGAGCATAAAGTTGCATTACTTAGACTCGCATCGGGATCAATTCCCTGAAAATTTGGGAGATTACAGTGAAGAACAAGGAGAACGATTTCATCAAGATCTTAAAGAATTTGAGCGTCGTTATCAAGGAAGATGGGATGTAAATATGATGGCCGACTACTGTTGGATGCTGAAAAGGGATATTGTACCTGGAGGCACCAATTTGAAAAGAAAACCATTACACAGATCCTTTGAGGACAAAAGAGTGCGCTACCATAAAAAGACGTGAATACCTTACTTATGTATATAAGAATTTTCATTTCTAGTTTTGAAAATCTAACTTCAGATTCGTAATCAGCGACCCAAAAAACCCCTAGATACCAAGTTTGAAGTAAATCCATCAATTTTTACAAAATTCGTCCGCCATATTGGAGCCGCCATTTTGAATTTTGAAAATCTAACTTCAAATTCGTCATCAGCGACCCAAAAAACCCCTAGATACCAAGTTTGAAGTAAATCCATCAATTTTTACAAAATTCGTCCGCCATATTGGAGCCGCCATTTTGAATTTTGAAAATCTAACTTCAAATTCGTCATCAGCGACCCAAAAAACCCCTATATACCAAGTTTGAAGTAAATCCATCAATTTTTAAAAAAAATAGCCTACCTCTCAAAATTCGATAGGTTTTTGGAGGTTAGAAAAAAATCCTGACGTGATGGAGCAAAACGGACTTCGGATTCGTGTTCAGCGCGTCAAAATACATAGGAAATGACTAGTCTGGTCTGCCGCGCACGACACTTTTTTTTGTGGGGCTGTATAATTGCCAAAATCTTTATTAAGTTGTTTTTTTATGTATTAAGTTAAAAATGATTCATTAAATTATAAAATACATATACGGCATATAATACGCATCATGAGACAAACATAACCTACTTAGTTGAAGCAACGTGATCGGCCATAATCAAAATAGTGCGCGCATATTTAAATATAATTTGCGCTTTCGGTGAAACCACGGATCTCGATCCGGATAACTAAGTGGTGCTCATTCAGTTTATACATATTAAATATGATTTTTTAAAGTTTCTATAGACTGTTGCAAGAATTGTAATAATACATCGAATATATAACAAAAAATCGCTGCTAAGTTGTACTGTTGTATTTTGGAGTGAGTAACTCTTTGTGTTCATTATGAACACATTGCTTCCTCCTAGAGATTACGTAATTTCTATTTTCACTTTATTCAGAATATTTAATTTGGAATAAGGCAATAAATTCTGAATTTTATATCTTATCGAATTTTCAAATATATAATCAATCGATGCACTTTTAAATGCTCTACAAGCCAGTAATAATAACTTAGAAGTTATATGAAGATTTTTGAATAAAAAAGTCAAAAAAGTCATGTTTTTCAAATTTCTTATTTTTGAAACATCAATAACTTTGTTATATTTTATGGAAAGAAGTTCAAAAATAGGTCAAATCTCATTATTTGTCCGCCAATGAGATCTTCAATTTAAAAAAAATCATCCCGATAGCTCTTAAGGGCTTTGAGATATTTATGAAAATGTAATGTTAACACAGACACACACACATGCGCGTGCGCGGACGTTTTCTAAAAACATCATTTTTGAACTCCTGGGGTCAAATTGTATCGAAATATGTGAAAAATATCATCCTCTACGGAGGAAGCAAAATATCGAAAAAATAAATGAGCATTAAAAATTGTGAAATCTCAATAGAAGGGGAAGCATTGAGGATGTTTAAATTATAAACGAGAGAAAATTAATCACTACACTACTATTTTTACAGAAAGCGGAAATTAATATTAATAATCTTTGATATACATTGATTTGGAAAGTTCTTTGTCGAACGGGACACCCTCTAATTTCCAAAACGCATGGAAAATGCATGTGTAGTTTTTATTGCCACATGGCATTTTTGGAATTACAAATATACGCGGTCAATATGGCGCTTCGAATAAAAATGTGCATTAAACAATGTAATTTTTGCCGTAGTTTCAAAAATTAGTTCAATTGTTCAAACACTAAATATTCAAAGCTTTGAGGGGTTGCTGATTATGATTATGAAGTTAAAATCAATAAATTCAAAATGGCGGGTCCAATATGACTAACGATTATTTTTAAATTCATGGAATTCACTTGAAACTTTTAACTCGGGGGTTTTTGGGGTAGCTGATGTTACATCTGGTCATTTTTCAATCTTATTTTTTCTCTATATTTAATTTTTTTTTCTCTCCCACGTTTCTTATCTTCTTAAAGAAAAACAACATCTGTTTATTTAAAAAATCATGTTCTTTCTTGTACTCATCGACTCATAATGTATCTGTTTTTTCTCTTGTTTCCTTTTTAAGCAGATAATGAAACGTGAAACCTTAGTGGTCAACATTTACCAGAATGCACTTTTTCCAAAAATCTAAGAAACTGAAACATCCGTAAGCAATAAAATTATAAAAAACAACCATAAAAATCTTTTCGAACTCTACAAGTGCATCCTCCAGATGTCGACCGCTGGGGTCCTTTTCCTTTCATTTTGTAGTCCCTATCGCTAAAGAACCTTCTGGTTGCAATAAAATTCGTTTTGGTTCCCAATTTATGTATGTACAATTGCACCAGAAATGCACATGTTCGATATATATATATATATAGTATGAATGAATGAATGAAATATTTTAGACATAATATATATTTTTTAATAAAAATTAACTGCAATAATTAATTTCATTATTATTATTATTAATAAATAATTTAAATATTATTTTTCAATCATTTATATTAAATTTTATTAAAAAACTAGTAATTGTTGAAATTTATAATTAATTATTGTTCAAAATTATTAATATAAATAAAATTATTATTGTTTATAACAAAAATTTAATCTAATTGTAAAAAGATGCAAAATATAAAAGATCTCCCCTTCTTTGAGATTTTATCCCTACTTTTGGAAATCTGTGTCCTTAAAGGAACACCCACAAGTTCCGACCCCCCTAAGGGTTGGTTCAGTGGGGCCCAATAGAAAGAAAATGTAAATTAGTTTTCTCAATTTTTTCTTACGAATTTTTACCATTTTCTTTGAGAAAAACCAATAATAAGTTTTCTCAACTCCCTTTCTTCTCCGCCTACAAGAAATTTCCCTTTCTACAAAAAAATCTCTCCCTTCTTCAAAATCTACCCCAAAAACTCAAAATTTGTAGTGGGGACAAACCTTTAAAAACGTATGTTTCCCTAAAATCTTCAGTCATTCAAAGATTTACATTTCTACATTCAAACTCATAAAGAGTCATAAAAGTTATTCAATTTTTACATTTCTACATAAAGCTCATAAAGAGTCACCCAAACAGTTATTCAATTTTTTAAATTTCTACATTCAAAAGTTATTTTCAACATAAAAATTCGTACTCAAATCAAATTCTAAAAGATATTTAAATTTTATTCTTAAAAGTTCAGTGAGTTTTCTACGTTTATTACCAAATTATAAAATATCAAGGAAGGACGAATAATCTAATATTTTGCATCTTCAGGGAAAATTATCTTTGATAAATAAAAAGTAAGTTTTAAAATTATATTTTCTATCTTTACCTTATTTCTTTTTGAAAAACTTCTTTCACTATCTAAAATTTTTCACAATTTCCCAATTCCAAAGAATATTGCCGTATTAAAGCTGGCGGTTATTCTTTAAAATTGTATTATTTTCACCTATGTGTTTCCCTATTATTTCAATCTTTGATTCCTAAATTTGTTAATGTCACTTTATATATTTGTGACTAACAAATTTTACTCCTTATTTTATGTATTCCTTTTATTTTTCAATTTCTATAAGAAAATTCAATAGAGATTAAATAACCAAAATTAATTCCCAAGCTATTGGGTGAGAATCCAGGCTTAAAATTGTAATTAAATTTTTATAACTATAATTTTAATTTGAAATATAAAAATTAAATTATTATTATTTGTTATAAAAATTTATAAAATATTATTTATGTTGCATTAAGTAACACTGATTATTACGTATCCAAGGTTAGTTTTTCAATATTCAATATAGTGTATCCAATATGGCGGACAATTTTTTAAAACTCATGGAATTCACTCTTAACTTTTTACTTGGTAATTTTTCGGGTCGCTGATTACAAAACCAATATCAATTTTTCTGAATACACGGAAAAACTTTGTGAATCATTTTTTGTTAAACTCGCTACTGAATTTTAATAAACTTGTGACCAAATTTAGAAAAATTTGAAAACTATTAATTAATACAAGTGTTTTTAATAAAAGATGATACACAAAGTCTTTCCGTGTATAAAATATTGGACCTAACATGGTTACTAAAATTATCAAAAATTGAACAGGCTCTCTTGAAAGTTGTGACTCAGGGGTTTTCGGGGACTCTGTTTATGCATTTTAACTCAAGTTTAAAAATTCAAAATATCGGGTCTAAGAAGACGCAAAAAATGTATAAAAATTCATACATTTTTATTAATCTTTTTATCTCGTTGTTTTTGTGTGGCCGATTACGAAACTGACATCATATTTGTAATCAGTAACCTCAAAAATACCCGAGTCATAAGTGTCAATCAAATCTGTTAAATTGTTATAAAATTGGTTTGCATAATTTTAGAATCCGCCATTTGAAATTCTTAAATTCATTTTCGTAATCAGCAACTCCATAAATCTCAAAGTAAAAAGTTTCGTGATAAATCTGACAATTTTTAATTTTTGCATAAGCTATATTAGACCTGCCATTTTGTGTTTCGAAAAACCGTCCTCGAATTTGTGATCAGCAACCCCAAAAACCCACGAGTAATAAATTTTAAGCGAATTAAGTAAGAGGGAATAATAATAATAATAATAATTTTTGAGTAAAAGTGAAAGTTTTAGTGAAAAATTTTTGAGAGAGTGAGAGTAAGAGAGAAAAAATATTGAGTGAGGGTGAGAGTGAGAATGAGAGAAAAAAATTTGAGTAAGAGTGAGGGTGAGAGTGAGAGAGAAAAATTTTTGAGTGAGAGTGAGGGTGAGAGTGAGAGAGAAAAATTTTTGAGTGAGAGTGAGGGTGAGAGTTACGTGAACGCACCCCAGCTTCGTGTCGTATTGGTTAGCTATGTAGATAAATTCTATTAGGAAATTGACATGATTTCTATGCCAAAGGTCTTATCCAGTAGGGTTATGTTTATATTCTCTTTGTAATTACGATCTTGCAGTTTAAGTTTTGAAGAAACTGTTAACGCTATTTTATTTTGGACATCATTTAGAACAAATTATACTAAAAATATGTAAGTTTTTAACCCTAAATAGCAAAAGCAATACATAGCGACTATTGCTATTCGTAATCCCACTACTGCATACTTCTCCAGTATAAAGGCCTTTCTCCAATATGTTCCTGAATGTTTGCGTTTGTTGGCAAGCGCAGTGAGGTCATCAAAGCATTGTTGTCAATCGCGAACAAAAAGTTTGGTTTATGGTTTTAAAACACTGAATTTTTTAATTATAAATATTTTGTTCATTAACTTTTCTTTAATTTAATTAAAATTATTAAAAGCCATCGAGAAACATGTGTATTAAAAATTGTAAAGTTGGAAAACAGGGATAAGAGGAACATAAACCAAACTCTTTGTTCTCAATTGGTATCAATGCTTTCAAGACGTCACTGCGCTTGCGAACCAACTCGTCAGTCACGCAACGCAAACATTTAGGTACCTATTGGAGAAAGTTCTTAAACTTCATCAAAAGTACGCTGAAAATCCCAATTCGGAAACGGCCAAAGCCAAGTTCAAGTCCAAATCCGATGAGTGCGAAAGAGATAGGTAGTCTATCTATTGTAGAAACTCCATCTAGTGTGCACTAAAAATACCAATTTGGAAACGGCCTATCAAAAATGCGTTAAAAACCTCAATTCGAAAACGGCCTCACTGAAACTAAGCTATACTTTTATAAACAGGTTGAGAACCTTTTCCTGCTCACTGATTAGAACTTTCATAACGAGAATCTGGAAAAGGCCTTTTGTTATATTTTCGTATCGTTATTCAAAGCTGCATCTACAACGGGGAAAAAAAGTGTAGCGATCATGTTGTGTTGGCCTGTGTACATTTGTATAAGAATTCTTGAACAGAGTAAGAATACATCTATGATTGAAGTTATGTTTTGATGATATTCCGGTGCAAAAATTTCAACAATTAGTAATACTGTGACATTTCGTTTAAAAATTTTTAAATTTAAGGGGACTTTCTGGTTTAGAATTGACAAAAAGACACGTTTTAAAACTTTTATTGTAAGAAAAGTATTTAAGAAATTGCAAAAATTCTTTATGTACATTGTTGCACATTACGTAAAGAAAATTTTTAAAAAATGTTTGAGTGTATTTAGTTCAATTTCGTAGCTGTAGGTGGCGTCTTCCGAAAGGTACCTTTTTTGGTGCGCTTCCCTCCTGGAAGTAAAGAGATAGAAAACTAGTTTTATGAGCTAACATTATAATTTTATGTCAAACTTACAGTAAATAGTAAATGTTGGAATTTTAGAATGCCCGCCTTTTATCTATTTGCTCCAATGGCCGTAGCGCTGCTAAGTTAATTTCATGTATTACTGCGACTGTCTGTGTTCTGATTCATTTTTGATTAATAAATAATAGTTTTCTAATAAATAAGGTGTTCGTTATTTTTACTAAACTCCTAACTATCCATCAAGTTATGGTGTCCAGTTATCTTTAAATGCATATTCACGCTTCCATCACGCGAGTTTTATTATAAAGTGAAAAATTGAGTGCTAACACCAAACGAGAATTTTTACATGGTAAGAAAAATGTTCAAGGAGTAAATAAAAATCATGCCATATCCAGGCACAGCTGATGAGTAAAAAAATATTAAACTGAAATATCTAAAAATATGAGCATTACAAAAATTTATTATGCAAATAAATAAAAGCATTGAATAGAACCACGTGGTAAAAAATCACACGTGCACGTGTACATGAAAATAAAAGAAAGATGCGTTTGTGAATAAATGAAATTTTATATAAAAGATGTGTTTATTAAAAGACGTACTAATAAAAATATATTAAGGTATCACATCGGTAAAACCGTTTTCTATAGATTTTCTTGAAAATTTTACCATATGTTCTTATTATCATTCTTGACAAATTTGCAAAATATGAAGAATTTTCGCCGTACGAAACCAGAGATATTAGCAATCAAAGTTGCTTATTTTGCATGGGAGACGGGACTAATGTATGGGGGAGAAGTACATTTTCATAAATATCATCAGAAGTTTTCTATAAATTTTTTTCAAAAACTAATGTTGAATTCACGAATAAATTTGGAACTAAAATATACAAAAAAATTTATAATTTACCGTGCCGTTTATTTGTAATTATAAATTAAAAATTCTATTTCATGACGTCATTTGCAATATATAGCACACCCGCCACTTTGATGTGGCAACATCGCAGGATGGTAACATTAGTTAGAGAGAGACAGTAGTCCACAGTAGTCAAAGCGAGACTTATAGCGACGTTGTCAAACCTCCTACTCCTTCCAATCGCTGCTAGTGTGGGGTATACGTGTACGAGTGTATTTGTAGAAGTAGGTACAGTATGGGCTGAGAGTATAGGGAGTTGAGGGCGAAAGTATACTGCGGGAAGTAGTAATGCGAGCTACAAACTTTTGACTCCGATTAGTGCCGATGTGATACCTTAAAATAAAAATTAAATTAGCAAGCTATTTATTGATTGAACCCAAAAGTCCTTGCTCAGTAAATTTTTTTTTCTCGTGAAAGTAAAAGGAAAATAAATACTTTTCTGACAAAAATCAAAATAATTTGTGGAGCCGTTTTTGAGAACGGTTGCTTTGAATATTTTCGCCATTAAATTTGAATTTTTTGATAAATCTGAGCAAACATAAAATTTTTCCTAAAAGTTTTTTTTTCCTTCGCTCCTAAAAAAACAAATGAACTTATAATAGTTTTTATTTCCAACTTGTCTATTGAAACTTGATCTAAAATGATCTAAATTGTGATTGTAAAATTTGCGAAATAGTTCGAAGTGTACCTGCTAAATTTTCTACATCTTATAGTAAAAAAAATAACAAGTAGGGGAGTGTAGTCAGGGTTGGACATAGTTTTGACTTTTCTCTACAACTTCCCTTGTAGGCCGAATTTTGAGATTTCTCGCATATGGTTCGAAAGATCTACTAAAATGTATTGTTTTTACTGAACATTGTAAATATATTTGACCAAAAGTTTCGGACTTATAGTCAATTAAAAAAAAAGTAGTCAGGGTTGAACTAAGTAGTCAGGGTTAAGCCACAGTAGAAAATCAATTAAATATGCAGACAAATGATTAATAATGACCTTTAAATGATAGAATGGCGATCAAATACACTTGAAAATGTGTAAAGGAACTACGAAATTGAAGTAAAAAGCCCTTATTATGTAATTTTCAGATTTTCGCTTGTATCGCTAAGCTGGTCTGAAAAGTGAAAAAAAAATTATCAAATATTTGTATTTCCTTTCTTTCTAATGGAAATGAAGTTTTGGCATATTTTTTATGCACTTAATTGTCTTCTTTTGAAACAAGAAAAAAGGTTTTTGTTGAGCGTACAGCACTGACTCGCATAATACGTCTTTATTGATCAGTTTTTCAAAATTTTTCAAAATCCAAAATACCCGATGCCAAATGTCGGAAGAATTTTTAAAAATTATTTTTATTTACTCAAAACTTGTAACTAGACGACTTTTTAAGCCTTGGTGATTAAAAATTCGGTTTTGGTTTCTAAAATAGTTTGTAGCTGGGTATAATATTTTTATTATCTTCTATCATGTATTTTGCAACTGTATAACGAGGGTTTTTCTTTATCCTTTTTGATTCAATAAGAAACGTTTCTATAACGTGTCGTACTGTTTCGTAAGATGAGTCCAAAATGAGCACGTAAGCGGTACGTCATAACGTTAACGCCATACTGCATCTGGTAATTTTAATTTTCAAAAACTGTTGTCGAATTCGTAATCTGACAACCCAAAACCCCGCCAGTAACGAGATTTAATTGAATTCAATGTATCTTAAAAAAACCGATTGGTCATTTTGAATCCGACATTTTGGATTTTTAAAAATTGACATCAGATTTTGAATCAGCGACTACAAAAGCCCTTGAGTGACGAGTATCAAGCGACTTTATATAGTTCCTTTGATTTTAGTCATTTTTAATGTTTTTGCTTTTACCACACTGAAAAAAATGTTTGGTCAGTACAACCAAACTTTGGTTGTGCCAACCGAATTGTTTGGTTAGCTTAACCAAAGTTTGGTTAGCCTAACCAAAGTTTGGTTAGCCTAACCAAAGTTTGGTTGTACTAACCAAACATTTGATTGCTCGGACCATACAATTTTTTCAGTGCATAGATTTGTTAAACTTAAAAATTCGTTAAGTAACAAGTTTTAAATGAATACAAATAAATTTTAAAACTTCTTCCGTCATACTGCATCCGGTATTTTGGATTTTGAAAAACTGTCATAGAATTGAATATTGTTCAAGTCATAATAAATCGATGGTTAAATTTCTGAGATGGCATTACTTTTTTTTCGAGATATTAATTAATTAACTAACAAAAGTTAAAAAAAATGAAATATTTTATGAACAAATAAAATTAGAATAAATTTAATATCACCATTCCAATGCTTATCGTAATCCGCATCCAACGAGCCCTACATGAACTATTTCGGATAAACGGGTGTTAAATTTATATAAAAAATTATTTAAATAATTATTAACATATGAAGGAATGAATATAAACCGTTAATTATTTTTTTGTTTGGAAGATCATCTAATTCTGTGTTAAAGAAAGATTAGTAAGTATTATTAAGAATAAAAATTAATTATTAGATGTTATTTGAAGAAAGGCTGAAAAATAGTGTGCCGAGTAGGTAGGGAAACTTTGACAAGTTGTGCCGTGGGGTGCTGAAACAGCGATTTTTAATAATCTGTTAATAATTTAGATTGTTAAAAATGCTATTTAACCTGATCTTATTTGACACAGAATTAAATGATCTTCCAAGCAAAAAAAGAATTAACGGTTTATCTTCATTCCTTCAAATGTTATTAATTATTTAAATAATTAGTGAGGATGGTAATTTTGTTTTTGAATTTTAATATTGTAGTTAAGATGTTAAATTGGTGTCTCCTATTAAGTATTTCATTAACCTAATCATATCTGATAAAGTAGAAATTTAGTTGACCAACAGTTCTAATTTTAATGTGCGAAACTCGTAGAAATATTTTTCGTACATGGTTTCTGAAAAAAGTGGGTCGTTTCTCGCTGCTGGAGTATGATCCCAGAACCTTCTTAATGCCGGTAAGATGCTCTACCAATTAAGCTACAGAGAGATCCGATTCCACTCAATTCCACTCAATATTAAAATTCAAAAACAAAATTACCATCCTCACTAGATATTTTCTAAAGTTCTTAATATTGACGTTGAAAAGTCGTATTCATGGTTTCTGAATTGAGTCAAATCGGGTCTATCTGTAGCTCAATTGGTAGAGCATCTTACCGGCAATAAGAAGGTTCTGGGTTCATACTCCAGCAGCGAGAAACGACCCACTTTTTTCAGAATCCATGTACAAAAAATATTTGTACAAGTTTCATACATAAAAATTTGACTGTTGGTCAATTAAATTTCTACCTTATCACATATGATTTGGTTAATGAAATACTTAATAGGAGACACCTATTTACCTTCTTAACTATTTAAATAATTTTTATTATTAATTTAACACCCGTTTATCTGAAATAGTTCATATAGGGCTCGTTTGATGCGGATT